GGTGGTGGTGGTGGTGGTGTGTGTGTGTGTGTGTGTGTGTGTGTGTGTGTGTGTGTGTGTGTGTGTGTGTGTGTGTGTGCTGGTGCGTGTCTCGCCGCTCTTCTGCTTTTCTAAACACAAACAAACAAACAAACAAACAAACAAACAAACCGCCTCTCAACCATCACCATCACCATCCCCCCGCCCCTCAAAAAAATCATGCGTGCAGCGCGTTTGCGGACGACCGGGAGTTTCTTGAGTTTGTGCCGGCGAATTGGCCCATCAAGGACCTCCTGTCCGGCTGCCCGCGCTCGTGCCTCAAACCCATCCGCGACTACGACGAGAACCTGCCAGACGTCAATCCAGGTGGGGGCTGTCAGGAGGGAAGGAGTGTGTGTGTGTGTGTGTGTATGTGTGTGTGTGTGTTGTGTGTTGTGTATGTGTGTGTGTTGTGTGTGTGTGTGTGTGTGTGTGTGTGTGTGTTGTGTGTTTGTGTGTGTGCAGATGGTTGGGGGGATGGCGGCTCTGGTTCGATAAGCCTTGAAACAGACAGTTCTCACATGTTAACACATCTCCCTACCCAACCCAACCCCGGCCCTTTCGTTCCTCCCAGATGATGTGACTGCGTGGCTGAACGAGACAGAGGTGGTGGCGACGGAGGTCGGGCTGAAGGACGCCATCCTGACAGATGACTGGTTTGCCATGCGCGCGGAAACCATTGAGAAGTTTGACGCACGTGAGTTAGGCAGTGGTGGTGGCAGTGGTGGCGGTGAAATGTGTGGTTGTGCTTGGTGGCCATGACATGTGATACGGCTGCCACTCGTTCTTCCATGGAAACGCATGTGGTGCACATGTCTGTACTTTCAATTTCACCACCGTCGTTGTCATCATCATCATCATCATCATCATCATCATCATCATCATCATCATCATCATCATCATCATCATCATCATCACCACCATCACAGAATGCCCATCTGCGCTGGATCAGCTTCGCAACCGCGAGGGCGAGGACCCCTTTGACACAATCAAGTCAGTGGCGGTGATGTGACAATTGCGCGCTCGTGATGTCCGTGGTACTGACGCTTCTGCACCCTTGTCGTTTTCACGCTCCTATCCCACACACACGCACACACACACACACACACACACACACACACACACTCACACACACGCAATCACACACACGCACTGACGCACACACACACACTCACTCACTCACACACACGCAATCACACACACGCACGCAATCACACACACACACGCACACATGTACACATCGTGACAGCCGCGCCTCGCGGAAGATGCATCCGGATCAAGATGCGGAGAAACTTCAGGAGCGCCTGCGCGAATTGGAGGATGATGTCATTGCCCTCCATTTGGAGAACTACGTCAAGGACGTGCGTTGTTTCTGTGGTTTGCATGCACGCACGCGACTACTGACATGCCCATGCACACACACGCGCGCGCGCGCACACGCACACAATCGCACACTCTCTCACACGCCCACGCACGCTCCCATACGCACCTTCATGCACACACATGCCCACGTGTCACGCGCTTCAGTTTCTGCTGGAGCATCCGCCGGCATCAGTCGCGCTGCAGCGAAATCGCGACGAAGACGCCCTGCCACCCCCGCCACCCCCATTAAGGTCGCCAGCATCATCCTCGAGCACGGTTGTGGTGCCCTCGTCGCCGTCGTCGTCCATGTTTGGTGATGCGCCCAGCGGTGATGCGCCCAGCACACCGCCCGAGCACATGGGAACATCACCCACCACCCCGTCATCATCGCTGCCGTCGTCGCTGTCGTCGTCGACACTGGAGCCGAGGGCGCGTCAGCATGACGGCGAGGGAGAACAGCAAGCAGACCAAGGGCAGCAGTATGAACGTGGGCACAACGCACCGCCACCCCCACTGTCGTCGTCGTCGTCGTCATCAGCAGCATCAGCATCATCATCATGGCCACCACGGTTTGACATTGAAACGCTCGTGCGTGCATTGCAGCGCGACAAGAACGAGCGCGCCCCGTACCGCCACATCTTTGGTGTGCAGCCCATGTACACCCGACTCCTGCGCGGACACCCCGCAGGGCCTTCGTCCATTGTGCCGAGTGATGATGAAGGCAGCCCCACCCCTCGCCCACGCTCGCTTGCATCCTCGTCTGCTCCCAGTCTGGCCGCCGCTGCTGCTGTGGGCACTGGTGCTGCGTCCAACACCGCCGCTGGTGGTGGCGTCAACACCACCATAACCGGCACGCCCACAATGACGACCAACTCAGTGTTCTATGGGATGTCGCCGTCCGAGAACGTGAGCCCCGTGCATGCAGGCACATTTGCCACGCCAAGCCTCGCCCACCTGCCCGCGCGCCTGCACGCGCTGGGGGCGGTGCCCGTGATCCAGGAGAACCCGCGCGAGGGACTTGGCGAGGGGGGCGTGATGCAACAGCACACGTTTCCTTACGCACCAGCACAGCAGCAGCAACAGCAGCAACAGCAGCAGCAGTACGGTGGTAGTGGTGGTGAGGAAGAATTGGGTGATTCGCAGTTTGAAAAGTTTGAGGATGAGTCTGTGCATGGTGACGACAACAGCGGTGATGCTGGTGATACGGAACAAGGTCGGGGCAGCGAGGGAGAAGGTGAGAAGGGGCGTAGTGGTGATCGTGGCAGCAATGTAGATGCCGGCACAATGACGGACAGGCAGACGGGGGAGCAGCAAGGTGAGGTGACAGCATTGCGGGAAGCGAAGGAGGAACTTGAGCGACAAATTCACGAGCTGCAGCAGCAAGTCTCCACCCTCAGCGTACGTTTGTTTGTTTTGGTTGCTTGTTTTGGTTGCTTGTTTTGGTTGGTTGGTTGGTTGTGTGTTTGTGTGTTTGTGTGTTTGTGTGTTGGTGTAATTTTTTTTATTTTTTTTTCATTCGTTTGTATGTCCGCACAACTTGCCCGCTGCCTTTGCCTCGCCAAAGTGCGTGCTCAGGCACATACCACACTATCGACATCACACTTAACCCTCTCGCTCGCTCGCAAACGCTTCTGTCGCCATTCTTCATCCTCAGGGAGAGAATGAGGCCTTGGAGACGAAGATGAAGGGCATGATTGATCCCTCAAACATGCTCGACACATCCGTTCTCGGTCAGTGCACGCTTTGATGTTCGTGCTCGCTCGCTTTCTTGCATGCTTGCCTGCATGTGTGCTCGCTTGTCTTTGCAGCGATTGCTTCACACTCGGCCGTCGTCGTGTTCACACACACACACACACACACACACACACACACACATCTTCACACATGTCCACGCGTGCTGCACGCCATTGCTCTGCAGAGACGACGCGGTCGCAGCTGTCGTCGTCGTCGTCTGTGTTGAGTCCGTGGGGCGGCGATGAGCCGGAGCCAAAGATCTCGTTCTTTGACCTCAAACCGGGCGACATTGCCCTCTTCCTGCGCAGCCCAAAGAAGACTTGCATGATGGCGTTCACGGTGGGTTTCGTGGTGGTGGTAGTGATTCGTGGCGGTGATTCATGGTGGTGGTGCTGTCGTTGTCAGTGTTGTTGTTGCTGCTGTCGTTGTTGCTGCGGCTGCTGCTTCTCTTTTCTAATTGTTACTTATTCTTGTTTGCTGTTGTTTGCTGTGTACAATCTGCTGCTCACCAGAAACGGGCGCGTGAGTACATCCTCACACGCGAGGATCTCGTGGACATGGGCGTCCTCAAGTCGCCTTCAAGGTGTGTGTCTGTCTGTCTGTCTGTCTGTCTGTCTGTCTGTCTGTCTGTCTGTGTGTGTATCTGTCTGCCGTGCTTGTGTCGTCGCGGCAGCCCATGCTTCGCCCATGCACACGCAAAAACACACTCACACACATACGATTCACTCACACGTTCACACGCACAACCCACTCACGTCCACTCACAACGGCCGCACACACAAACACACACGCGCGCGCGTGTGCCTCGCGAACACAGCCCCACGCCAGGGACGCTGTGCGTGCGCCTGATATCTGTGGAGCGGCGGAAGATTGAGAGCGACAGCGCGCTGGAGTTTAAGGACCTCAACGTGTACGTATGCAAGGGATCCAAGCTTGAGTTATCCGGCAAGTAGCGAAGGAATACACAGCAAGGGAATGAGTTGAGGCCTCCACGGCGAGGGAACAAACAAACAGTTCAAGCCCAAGTTACACATGTCTGCGTATCTGTGCGTGCGCTTGTTCTTGCTTAACATAATCGAATACATAGCAGAGGCGCGGTGTATGCGTGTGTGTGTGTGTGTGTGTGTGCACGTGTGTGTGTGTGTGTGTCTGTGTGTCTGTGTGCACGTGTCTGTGTGCACGTGTCTGTGTCATGTCATGTCACAATCACATCAGTTGCTGGAACAAGAAAGAACCATTTCCAACAGCAAAACACACAATGATGACAACAAGGATAGCCGCGATGAAGAAGGCATCATGCTCCTGCTCCTATCCTGTGTTGGTAGTGCTGGTGGTGGTGATCATATCCCCTTGTTCGACTGCATTCACGAACCCGGCTGTGCCCAGCGAACCCTCAAACCTTCGGCAATGGGTACAATACCGCGGCACCCCCACCTGTGTCACGCTTGCGTCGCCTTGTTGAGTGCGTTGTCTTGAACCCCCACTACTTCCGACACGCTGCAGCTCACCTGTGCTTCGTCTGTCGCTATGACACACCCCCCTCTCTACCATTACATCACACCAGTGCGATGTCACGGAGCGGTTCGAGTCTCGCCCATCACCAAAGCTTCTACGACACATTCAGTAAGCATGAGGTCTGCTGCAAGCGCACACTCGCATTCATTTGTGAGCGTCTGCGAATGAGTGCGCACGTCTTGTCTTCTTGTCTCTCTTCTTGATTCCTCAAGTCCTCATCAGACATCTGACCGATGTGTTCCCCTCGCCCTTGCCTCTGCTTGTCCAGCTGGCTTCATGTGCCCAAAGCTGGCACAAGTTTCGGCACCACCATCATGCACTACGCGTGCGAGAACCTTGACGACGACCTCTACCCTCACAAGTGAGTGCAGTTGGTGTGCATGCGTGCGTGTGTATGCATGTGTGCATGTGTGCGTGTGTATGCATGTGTGTGTATGTGTGCATGTGTGCGTGTGTATGCATGTGTGTGCATGTGTGTGTGTGTGTGTGTGTGTGTGTGTGAGTGAGTGTACGAGTACGAACACGTGCGCCTGTGTGCACGTGTGTGCATGTGTGAAACCCAGATAGTGTTATCAAGGGAAAGCTGCGCAACACAGCACGAAGGACTCTCACGAGGACTTGACCCCCCGGTTGTGCGTGCATGCAGGCAAGGCCAAGGGTTTGAATATATGCGCTACTTCTTCCAGCGGTACTACAAGCCAAAGTACTGCTCAGGGCGAGTCCACTTGGAGCATGTGTATGGCCACGCCCCACTCAACGTAAGAGTGAGCGGTGGCGGTGCAGCCCAATCTGCCATGATAGCTTCCTTCGTCTGATATCACGAGAGCAGAACTGATGCACCGTCCTTGCATCTTTCATTGTTGGCGACCACAGCCACACCACATCCACATGCTGACACGGGGACATGCACTGCCACACTACCTCCTGTGTTCACACATGCGCGCGTACGCGCGTACAACTGCACAGGAGGAAGCGATTCGCAAAGGAGGGGTTGTCGCCATGCTGCGTGACCCTCGCATGCGACACTACAGCGGTTGGCGCATTCACGGCGTCATGGGAACGCCGCTACATCCATCCAACCTCACTGAATACGTGCAGATGTACCGTGGCTGTCAGGTGTGTCGTTTTCTTTGTGTATGTGTTTGTCCTCTCTGTGAGTGTCTGTATATGTGTGTGTTTGTGTAGCTGTGTGTGTCTGTGTGTGTCTGTGGATGTGTCTGTGGATGTGTCTGTGGATGTGGATATGCATGTCCGTTCTTGTGTGCCCTTGCATTTTGAGATCTTGTACTTGTACTTGGCTCACACGCTGCTCACGCACACCACAACCGCCACCTCAGATGAAGATGATTCTTGGGGAGCATTGCGAGCTCAAACCAGGCAGGGGCAAACGCTACTGGCGGCCTTCTTCCCACGATGAGGTGCTCGTGCACGTGTTTGCGAATGCGTGTGCCTGTGTGTACCTATGTGTGTGCAACACACACCGCCCTTGCACCGCCGTTGGGCATATGCGTGCAAGCTGCCATGGTCTTTTGGGTCTGACCGCGCGCCGTGTTTGCTGTGTCGATTGTGGTGCTTGCAGGCAAAGCGAGCGGCATCGCTACTGCAGGATGAAGCTGTGTTTGCGTTTGTTGGTCTGACAGACCACTGGAAGGCAAGCGTGTGCCTCTTCCATGCCATGTTTGGCGGCAACATCACCAAGCACGAAATGGACAACGTCAGGTGCGTGTCGGTGTCTGTGCGTGCGTGTGTGCGTGTGTGTGTGTGTGTGTGTGTGTCTGTGTCTCTGTGTGTGTGTGTGTGTGTGTGTGTGTGTGTGTGTGTGTGTGTGTGTGTGTGCGTGTGTCTGTGTGTGCGCGCACGTGCGTGTGTGTGTCTGTGTCTGTGGCTGCCACATGCATGCTCTTCCTTCACCTGATCCCTGCGAATTCGAGTGAACCGACGTGCCCAATTCCCTTTCCCCTCCCATTTTGTTTTGATGCAGGCCTGGTGTTTCTGCCTTGCTTAACGGCAACAGGTAATTGGATCGATCGGCGATGACACGTGTTGCGCATTTGTGCTGCGCATTTGTTCTCGTTGATGGGGGCTTGCTCTGGTCTTCAGCAGCGTCGTTGTTTTTGTTTTCTTGACCCTCACGTCAGCTATCCCGGTACTTGCATGCATGCATTGTTCCCATCTCACTCACGTGGGTCGCTGTCAGCCATCCTGCCCTGGAGAAGATTTCGATGCAGGAGGACCCCTTTGACGCTTTTGTGTACACGGTAAGCCCACAGTGCTTGCGGCCGTGTGTGTGTGTGTGTGTGTGTGTGTGTGTGTGTGTGTGTGTGTGTGTGTGTGTGTGTGTGTGTGTGTGTGTGTGTGTGTGTGTGTGTGTGTGTGTGTGTGTGTGTGTGTGTGTGTGTGTGTGTCGACAGTACCAGGTTCTATCCTTTTTTTGTCTGATAATAAACCAAGAACGAGGGGAAAGAAAGCAAGACTGAAGGGGGAGAGCGGAAAGCAAAGAGTATGGCATTGGCGAAACAGAGACAGTGGACATAAAGAAAGAGGGCACCGACCCCCTCGCGCACCGAAGATTACAAAGCTTGAAGTAGAGACGATCCGTAAACTAGCACGAGGGAGATGATACACTGCTAAACTCGAACGCCAAGAGAGAGCAGGACGGAATGATGATGAGTAATCACCAGCAGTGGGCGGAAAGGCGAAAGACACACAGAGAGAGTGAGGGAGAGTGAGAGAAGAAAGCACCACGCACCCATCACATTACTGTAGAATCCGAAATATAACAATCTAATAATTGACAGATGCCTTACTACGAATAAGCAGAGTCACTTCGGGTCGACCGCCCCAACTTATGATATGA